AACATTGCATTTTCAAGGTTTAGGGCCCATTCACATTCAGTGCCTTTACATCCCTTACAATTTGTTCAAAGTATTTGTCAGCTTGGGAGTAAATCCAGGGGTGGTTTTGCTTGTGCTAGTTCTTCCTCTGTGAAAGGTTTACTCAGTGCTGTACTGGGGATGGAAGGGATAGAAGAGAGGCGTACGAAATGTAATAGGTTTTATAGTGTTGGATCTGTGGGCTAGGATCATATAAAGTTGTAGTGATATGTGGGCGTTGCACTATTACTACTTACTAAATGTGCCCCACGTTTATTCCCAAATTTATAGTATTTAATTTGTGTGTGATCTGTAAAGGGTATGGAATGTTCATAGAGGCTGGGAAGTACCAGTGATTGATAGGGTTGAGTGGGAACATTTCTCTGAAATGTCATCTCCAGTTGGTTCCAATGCATTTCCACAAAGCTTTGAAAAAACTCAGATTTAATCACTTCACTTTGGTTGGGTTATTCACTTGGCTGCCTTCAGCAGCTTTGCAAATAACACTCTAGATTTACCTATTGAAGATGGTCCAGTGTTAAAGGATCCCACTGAAAATCTTTGTCTCTGGCCAACAGCTTTTTTGTTTGCCTGTGCCAAATCCTCCTGTATATGGAAATAAGGGGCAGACCTACTATGAAAACAGCAGCGTCTCCCACCATGTCTCAACAAAATGTACTCATACGTTTGAGTGAAATGGTCCGAAATTGGGGGAATGTTTAAAGAATACCAATGTGGTCAATGATAGAGTAAATGTCTCCTGAGAAGCTAAAATGATATAGTACTTGTACCTATAAAACTATGTTTGCACAATCATGGTCACCAATGGTGAAGAATGAACACCATTGCTGCCATAAGAGATTGACATAGTGTGGGTTTTTTTTTTTGTAAAAGAGCTTATAAAATCCAAAAGCCTCTTTTGCAGTATTGACTAGTGATGAGCAAACCAAGCAAAGTTCAGTTTGCTGAAAATTCACCGAACACCCCACTGAAGTCTCCGCTAACAGAATGTTATTTTGTCTGGCCTTTTTCAGTGCCAAGTTGCAATCTTGTAGGAAAAAAAAGGACATCTGTAGCTAGACACTGAAGGGCGAATGTACCAATGCTAAATAGAAATGTAAAAATGTATGTTCAGCAGCTGGTTTATAAAGGCTTAAAGGGCGACATCAAAATTACACAGTTCCATTAAAGAACATAATGGGGGATTCTGTAAACCTGCATGTGAAGCGGCACATCTGTACAATGTACATTAGTAAGAGTTACACTTCCTATGAAAAATAATACCATTTAAATTGCCACTAACATCTATAGCAGACCCTTACACTAAATGTCTGGTATGGCTTGTAAGGGGGAACCCACAACAAAATCTGTTTCAGACCCTTAACCTTGATAAGGATCTGATATGTATTTTAAAAATGGCAAAGAAAAAAAGGGTGGTCTCTCTCCCCCCCCCAACACCATACCAGACCCTTATTCAAGCATGCAGCTGGATGGCCATGAAAAAGAGGGACAGCAAGCGTTCACCCCCTCCTCCTGCTCATACCAGGCAACATGCATGATGTCCTTGGTTGCTAAGACACTGACAACCACCTGTGTTATGTCCTAGCAACCAAGGAGCAGGAAGTCATTCATTTAGTGGCAGTAGTAATACTGATTTGGCCATCATTGTCCACTCCTGGATTTAATGATGATGACAACATTGTAAAATGTTCTGTTAAGTCCTGCAGCTTCTACTATGTGTGATTGGCAGAGGTTGTTACAACTGTATTTATATAGCGCTCTTCTCCCTGGGGACTCAGAGAACTTAATCTGCTGTTGGGGCAGTTGCTGAGGCAGCCACTATGTGAATGCTCAGTACAATATCATGCTAGGGCCAATTTTATACTGGAGCCAATTAACCTACCAGCATGTCTTTGGAGCATGGGAGGAAACTGGAGTCCCTGGAGGAAACCCACACAAGGGCAGGGAGAACATTCACATTTCATGCAGATAGTGTCCTGACTGGGACTCTGTGTGGCCTAGTGCTACAAGGCTGCCCCTGTTTAAGGACTGTTCATCTTCAGACCATGGAGAACACTGCAAGAGCAGGATCTTCCACAGAGAGCTAGTAAAACTACCATCATGGCCCTCTTCCATCCATGAGGCAATAAAAAAATGCAGCCAGATGGCAGTCTAGACTGCCAAAAGCCATACACTAAGTCTGCCCAGTTATCTAGACTTTGTATACACAACAGTATATGAGTTAATATAGTGTTGAGATATATGAGAACCAGACAGCACAGTTGTGATGACTGAAGGATAAGCATGCAGTGTTGCTGTGGTTGGTGTTGAGTAAAGTAGAAATCCAGTTTTGCCAAATTAAATGATTAGTTAGATAATTTATTTTAAGGTCAAACATAAGGTTTATATGTAATTAAAAAAAACCACAGCTACAGAATAATAACATGGGTCATTTTGCCACTTTAGCATGTTTATTTTATATGCAGTTTGCTAGCCATTTTGTACCAAATATACAGCTCTCTGGAATTTCATTACAGTTCAGACCTGCCCACCACCTCATGATCTTGAAAATGGATCATACAGCACAAAAAAGGAAATCTACAAGTACCAGGATTCAGTGACTTACAAGTGCGATAACCTAACGCTTGTTGGTGAAGCTTCAGTATCTTGCACAGAGGAAGGAAACTGGACATCTGGAGCACCTGTATGTAAAGGTAAGAAATACAAGCAATCTTAGATATTTTTCTTTGCCCACTGACAACCTGTCAGTGATCTGTGCAGCAGCGTGTTCCTCCTCACAGCCACTGCTGAATCAGTGACAGCCAGCAGCTGCTTTGGAGGAGGCCGGGGCCCGGTGTTCTATCAAAAGGTTCTCACTTGTTGAGTTCTCCGACTGGTGATGTCACATCCGGTGATTGCCAGTCGGAGATCTAAACCAGATGGAGCTACTGTGCTTGCGCCGTGGAATCCTTGTCAAAAAAAAAAAAAAACTACTGCCACTGTGCCTGCGTGGCTACATGCTGTAACCAGCGGCAGCGAAGGAGGAGGCAGGGCCCAGCGGTGTAGGAGGCTGACAGTGGATCAGGGCTAACAGGTAAGAGGTGTACAGCAGTGTTACCAGCCCAAGTGAGACCCTGCAGAGCCCACCGTAGAAAGTCTATGGAGGGCTCTGCAGGGTCACTCTCAGGTAGGCTGTGAGATCTTAGGTGGGCTCTGCAAGGGGCGTAAATAGAAATCACAGGGCCCCATAGAAAATGTTGCCACGGGGCCATGTGATTTCTAGTTACGCCCCTGGTACAATACATTCTATTTTTAAAACAAATGATGGTATAAAAATATGAAAGTCTTCTTATAGGATATCTTAAAAATATTTAGCTAGAGCATAACATTGCGTGTGTGTTTGTGTTTAATCAGCAAAAGAAGAACAAAGATTTTCTTGGTGCACATTTCTATTAATAATAAACATTTTTGAACAATACAGAGGTAATGTATTAGAGACCTCTTTATTTACTGCCTCTCCAATAGAATTCTATGCTTATGGATTCTTTGAGTTTCTGAAAATAAGTGTTTTTTTTAATGCTTGGTTTTTGTTTTGATTTTTTGACAGCCGTCTGCAAGTCCCCCCCTGAACTTGAATATGGATTGCTGAAAAAATCGTGTCCTCAAAGCCAGTATTTTAAAGTTGGTACAGCCTTGAAATATGAGTGCCGACTAGGCTATGTTTCTGCAAAAAATAAAAGCAATGAAATTATTTGTCACGAAGACCTTAAATGGTCAGAACCTGAAGTGTTTTGTAAACGTAAGTCTGTAAATCAAGAGTGCTTAAAATACCTTACCACTAGATTTATTTGTATGTGCTCAATATACCTTATACTGGTAAGTGTAGAATATTGCCTCCAATCAAGAAATATAGGTATAAATGAATCACCTGACACAGGCACCTTAGAGCATATCAGTTGTATTAAGAAATGAAAGATTATGCATATGTACTTTTCATCTCGCGCTGGGCTAGCATATATACAACTATGCTGGGGGATACACTTTCAGATATGTGATACAGATAATATATTTATGTCCTGTACACCAACCAATGACAATAAGCAATCTCAGTTAATTCTAAGCATAGGTGTAAAATAGTTAGTGAGAAATTAAAAGATTGATCTGTATTGTAATTCTTATTTAATTGATCTCTATTCTAATTAAATTAAATTATATACACATTTGTGGAGTCACTGACCCAGAACAAGTCCATGAAGTATTCAGACCAGACACAGCCAGGTAACAAGTATTTTTAGAAAGAGGTTGGTCAAGGTAGCACCCATATATTTCTTATAACAGGGGCTCTTTAAATTGCAAAATACATTTTTGACAGAGGCAACCCATTTTTTTTGTGTACGTCATCTATAACAAAATAAAATCGTCACCGAAACTAAGTTGCAGAATACACTTCATTGTATGAAAAATGTAAAATAATATTTACTTCTGTAGTGGTAGCGGAAGTATCCTAAAAAATAGGAAGTTGGCATGTGTGTATAAAAAGTATTAATCAATTCAGCTTTTTTATCTTTAATATACAGTAGGGTAGTATGTAGCAGTAGTGTGTAAAAGCAAACAGAACCTAAACATGAAAATGTATTTCTTTGTTGCAGGCACCTCATGTGGCCACCCAGGAGAAATTCCTTATGGACAAATGCATGCTAAAGACTTTTTGTTTGAATCAAGAGTAAACTATACATGTAAAGCCGGGTAAGTGTATTATTGTTTTATTATGTGGTAATAGGTCTAGATAATTTGTCAAATGTTTAAAAAAGTCAAGAGATAAAAATAAAAAATGTTTGAAACACATCAAACCCGTTGAGTAGTTCTGATTTTCATCCTGGCATTCTTTTCTTAACCTCTTGCTAAGGCTAGGTTCACATACCTTGCGATTGCACACAGCGATTGCCACGCAACCCCATTGATTTCAATGGGGTTATATCCATGCTGCAAGCGCTGAAAAAAGGTACATATACCTTTGTGTGCAACACGCACCACGCGGATTTTTCAACCGTGATCGTGCGCGATTGCACCGCCGGTATTGCGGCGTGAAATTGCACGATATGCCTGGTGCGACCGCGACATTAGAAAATATTGGCACCGCCCAGCGGGATCAGTTGTGGTGTGTGATTTTGTGACCGCGTGGCCACCCGCGCGGTTTCGTGCACAATTGCCACGCAGTCATGGATCGCCCTAGTATGAACCTAGTCTAAATATTCAAGGATATCAGTATCCTATTTTCTGAATAACCCAGGTCAGGTGTTCCCTTGTTCCAAATATTATTCTTTACAGCTCTCTGGAAAAGCAGGCACAAACAAATGTGGTGAAGTCTGACTGCAATGGCGTATCTAAACCCAAAAGCAAAAAATGAATATACTGTAGCATGCCACACCTTAGATGTGGTGGATACATTTGTTTGTTTTTTGTTTGGGGGGGTTTAACCTTGTGATCCAGCCAATAACAGTTTGTCTTAGAATGGTAAAACTCACAGTTCCACTGTATCAATGGAGAGTAATGTAGCCACCTTTGGTCATCAGCATTGTCAGTCTGTGAAGGGGGAAGTGTTAGGTACACTAGTAAATTTAGATGGACTTCAGCTACTGCTCGCATGTATACTGAGACGCCGCAGCCGGGACGGATCCAGACAATACTGTCTGGATACACCCAGCTGCGTGAGTGACAGCTGGCTCTGCCTATCTAGAGGCAGAGCCAGCTGTACCCGCCTCCTGCCCCGTCCGTTCCTCCAGTCAGCGCTGGAGGATCGGATAGGGGAGGGGGGGGGGAATCCCTGCAGGGAGCCATGACAGTCACGGCTCTCTGCAGGCACAGGATCGAGAAGTGAGCGAGTGACATTATGTGTTCTCTCACTTCCCGATCTATTGAGCAGACGTGTGACAGTTTCATTGTCACACGCCGGCTCAAACTGAGGCTGACTGATTTTTCACTCACCTCATAGTTCTTCTTTAAGCAAGAATTTAGATTTAGTCCTCATGTGACACTTTAAATGCTCTATGTCAGGAAAAGCTGCAACATAAACATCTTCATTGTAATTTGTGCACACTTAGGTTGCATGGTCTTTCCTTGTATTAAAGCCTTCCTAAATCCAAAACCAAAGATGTAATATATTGCAGCTATTACTAGTTTTTAGATGTGGTGCCTACATTACTGATCTTCAGGATTTTTTTCCATTACTTTCACAAGGTTATCCTGCAAAAAAAGGACTTTCCGTCCCTGGGTGGCATTGCTCACTCACTTCACTGTATATATGGAGGGAGCTGGGGTTATCACCTAGGCTGCGCTCATGATGGTGAACTACATGGTGGTGTGGACTATAAACAGGTCTTTTCCTATTCATCTCCATTACATGCAGGAAGCTGATTTAGTTTACAGTTCACACCACTAGAAGTGAATTTCTTTCTCATCCCAAACACGAGGTCTTGTAATGTCAGGTTAGACTGCCACCTACAAAAAGGACTTAATATTGGCAAACCAGAAACATTATCGGTCAACCCAGGATGACCCTTCCCCCTCCTAGCATGCCTCAGTTTTTTGCTAGTTGTGTCCTAGGAGGATGGCCATCTTTTCTTCAGTGCTGCTGAGAAAAGTTCAACCTTTTTTTACCTTCCTTTTCTGGCTTTTTCCATTCAAGATTACTGCTACAAATCGCTGCTTAAACTGGTCTCTACCTAACAGCTATATGGATCAGCTTTTCCTGAGTCTGACTTTGGAGTGGTGAATTCAGACCCTGCTGATCTGGTCGTTGCAGGGGTAGCCTGGAATGGGACCTTTGGGCATTGGGTTACGCTCTTTGTTGTTGTTCAGTATGTCTGTTGTTCTCAGTCTTTCTCTATGGAGACTGGAAACATCCTGACAAGATGTTTGTATCTCCTAGGACAACTATTGGTCCTGCACCTGTTTATGGAGAACTTTGTTAAAAAGTGGCCTGCTCTATCTGTAGATCTAGCAGTATCCCATTTTAATTATGTACCATTCCAGGGGAGAATGCACCTGTCAAATGGCTGGAGGCCCTCTCAGAGTCCTGTTCTTACTGGAAGGACTTGTGCCGCAACTTGTTTTAGCACTGAACTTGATCTGTCAAACCCTGTCTGACCAGTCTAAGGCTAATAGAAGTTAGGGAGTTGATTCCTTGGTCACAGAGCTTTTAAAACTCCTGCCTGCAGGCTTGAGCTACAGTGTGGATGGATTGTTGGAGGTCCCCCGCCTCATTTCCCATATGCCACCTTACCGATGACAACCTTCTCGATCCCTTACAGTCCGGCTTTCACCCCCAACACTCCACTGAAGCCGCCCTCCTAAAACTCACTAATGACTTGCTAACAGCTAAAAACAATGGCCACTATTCCTTACTCTTGCTATTAGACCTTTCTGCTGCTTTTGACACTGTCGACCACCCTGGAATACCACTGGAATACCAATTTATCAAACAATCCATCCCCACACAGCTACCTCATCATGTATAATATAATGGTCCTACTGCTCACTTGGTAGGTATGACTTTCTATATATGAGCCCTTGAACAGTTGCATGTCCTCCACAATCATTCTTAAAAAAAGTTGCCCCCTCACACAGATTAGTATTTACTGAATTTTCACTTGTCAGTCATTATTGTAGAAACTAAAGATGATTTTTAATATTTTGTGATCTTACAAGCTAGAAGACTGCACAAATGGGTTACATGCTAACTGTTCAAGAAGAATGTATGCTATTTGAACTCTCTCTCCATACGATTTCAGTGTAGGAGTCAATGTAATCTCTCAGACATTTAAATCCTTAAAGTACTGTATAAAATGATTAAAATTTCATATAAACTTTAATGCAAAACCAACTATTACTAAGAGCACATTCACACCTGCTGGTCTGCTGCAACGTATTAACCGCATGCATTTTAATGTACATTAGGGCAGTCCATTTATTTAAGGCACAGCAGTGCATTGGGGTGCCCTGCAATGCAGGTGCACTGGGTAGTAATCTCACTCTCATTCCATCTAAACTCCAGCATTTTAGACCTAGAAACTGGAGCATTTGATCTGGAAAACAAAGTTCATGCTTTCCAGATCTCTTGTGGTTCTTTATGGTTCTTAAACTTTTAAAACCAAATGAAACTTGTAACAGATGTTTTTTTCCAGAGACTCTATACAGAAATCGTCCAATTTTGTTTCATGTAAGTTTGCCAAATAGATCAGTGGGGAAGATGAGATTACAGTGGTTAAAAGTGGTTTTAGGTATTTTATGATGGACTACAAAACGCAGAGAGCGCCTCCATCATGTTAAACTTTTTGATAAGAGAATAAAAATAGTTGGAAATGTACTCACAAAGGGAGATAGGTAACAGGCATAAACAGATCAGGGAAAACAGACTTTGCCAGCTACAATGTTGTTACAAGTTATATCCTCTCAGGCTTTCATTCTTCAGCGCTAACCCTGCTTGTGTTTTACTTTTACATAGGTTCTCATTTTTAAATGGAATCTTGTTTCCAGCAGGCTTTGAGTGTTAACAATTAATCCACCTGACCTGAAGTCGATCGTATTTGATTAAAGGAGAACTATGAGGTGAGTGCTTTTCACTCACCTCATAGTTCTAGCCGACCTGTGACAATGAGACTGTCACAGGTCGGCTCAGTAGATCGGGAGGTGAGCGAACACATACCGGGTTCACTCACCTCTCGATCCTGTCACGGCTCTCTGCGTGACAGGGGAGGGGTTGGATTCCTTTCTACCCAGCGCTGACTGGCGGAATGGACGGGGGAGGGGGTGGGTACAGCTGGCTCTGCCTCTAGATAGGCAGAGCCAGCTGTCACTCACGCAGCTGGGCGGATCTCGACATCGATGTCGGGATCCGCTCCGGCGTCTCAGTATACCGCGAGCTGTAGCTCGCGGTATACTGAGCCTAGGGTGATGGGAGGATAGTTTGTGTCCTCCCGTTACCCTGAGAACTATGGGGAAAAGCCCGGACCCCATAGTTCTCCTCTAAGCATTTAAACATTTAAATGGCATTGATTCAATATGTACAATTTGTATGTCACATCTTTTGCGGCTTCTTGTATATAAAAAATATATATACATACAGGTATATACAAATTCTCAGGTGAGGCTGCGCTGGGGTGTGAGGCCCAATTATCATAATTACCCCCATGGCCGCAGGTGGTCTAATGTGGAATTCCAGCCTATGACTGGCCGCTATACCGTTATATATAGAGATACTTTCTAAACTCTCTATTGGTTCTGATGAAGGAGGCGGGACCTCAGAAACACATCAACCAAGAAGGACAGATAGCCGGCTGGCTAAGTCTGTTTTACCTGATCTGTTTATGCCCGTTACCTATCTCGCTTTGCGAGTACATTTCCAACTGTTTTTATTCCCTTTTATTCAAAAGTTTTACACGATGGAGGCGCTCTGTTTTGTATTTCAGTTTTGTGGTTCCCCTAACCTGCGAGAGCAGCCCTAAAAGAGTATTACACTGAAGATCTCCCCCTCTCATCCCTGACTCATGCTGCTGGCGCTTATGTGTTTATTTATTTTATGATGGCTATAAATGGCTGAATTTTGTTTATTTTTTGAGCTTTCTTTTGGACTAAAATGTAAAAGTCCAAATATAAAATTGAACACGTTAAAGATACATTGCACAATTGTTTTTTTCCTTATACTGTATTCTGAATGGCTGTTTTTTTTAATGTAAAAAAATATATACCAAAGAAAAGAAAAAAAGTGTACTGTCGCTAAAACTTTCAAGCAATTTTCCTAAAAGGTCATTTAGCTATGCAAAATAATGCACCTATTTATGTTTCAGCATTTGAGCTGATTTAGAATATGGCCCTAAAATTGTAATATCTATGACCACACAAATCTAATGACTAGTATCTAATTTAAAATTTTGCAAACCTATAAGCTAACTTTTATGCCATAGTTTGCAAGCTCTTGACTTGAAATAACATTAAAAATTGCTATTGGCAAACTTATGTGTTGTGATTAAGACTGACTGTTACCAGAGTTGACTAATTGATTATAATACAACATTCCAGACATACTATGATTTCAAGACAGGACTTCAGGTACTGTCAAGCAGATGGAACTTGGAATGGTTCATCCCCAGTGTGTAAAGGTAAAGCAACAATACAGGTTTAACTAATACAAGTAAATGAATGTATTCACTAATACCTATGTTGACGGATGTATTAAAGTAATAATGTATTAAAGCCAAAACTTTTGTTTTCAGTTTGGAATAGGGTAGTGACGTGTTAGAATCTCTGACAATCTTTATTGCTGTCTGTGTCGCCGCTGGAGAGATTACCCTCTTACCCTCTCTGTTGATCATAGTGACCATGGTCAGTGGGACTGAAAGTGATGAAAAAACAGAACTAGGAGAAATCTTGCAATGAGGAAATGTGTTATGGTGACAGCTGTATTTCCTTCAATTCCTAACCCCTGTTAAGTCTACAAGATAGGAAGTGAAGAGACTGGGACACAATTGGCTTAATAGGGGGTTTAAACTGTTCTCCACTCCATCCAAATATTAACAGGGTTATTCACAAAAGGGTGAAGAGTTTGGAGAAGACAGGAGAAGTGACCAACCTAGGACAACAGAGCTAAACTAGAAAGTGAGCTGAATTGGAGAACTTTTCCAAATTAGCTATGTTGTCCTAGATTGTTCACTTCTCCTGCCTTCTCCAAACTCTTCAACCTTTTGTGAATAACCCTGTAAAAAGAAAAGCTTAGACATTATATATGCTGTAAGTGTCACTTGTGATAATAACTGGATTTTGTGACGTTGGTACAAAAACCTATAGTGTTGGCTGCTGAAAGCTTGTCTCATGCTGGAAAAAAATCTGCCTTTCAAACGATAAGACACTATAGAAACGTAGGTTTAACAAAGGTTGTTCTTTTCAAAATGACAATGTTTAAAAGCAGTAAAAAAAGATATTGGAATCAGAAAAAACTGTGTGCACCAACAGGTGTGGGTGCTTCCATAGATGTTAGATTGATTGACCTACTGTAAATGTTGCATTTTTATAGCAAGGTTATACAATGGAAAGGAAAACATAAGAAATGCAGCTACCGCCCTTGTTTTTCTCAGCTTTGCATTTTTAAGGGTGGTATTCATTCTTTAAAGCTCAACTCCAAAACATATTTGGCTAGAGTGACAAAGGGATAGCACAGTAGTAGGCAACCCTGGCACTCCAGCTGTGCTGAAATTACAAATTCCACCTGTCTGTGAAGGTTCTCATTCATCCAGGTCATGGTATATCTAAAAAATGTATACCAATCATGTGCAAAGCTAAATAAATAATTAGGTGAAATATGTGATATAAATATAAGATATACGAGTATATGCTTTAAAAATATATACAAAAGAGCATATCAAAACATGAAAAGATGTGAACAGTGTAATAAATCACTCTGTTCACATCTTTTCATGTTTTAATATGCCCTTTTGTATATATTTTTAAAGCATATACTCATATATCTTATCGTTATATCACATATTTCACCTAATTATTTATTTAGCTTGACACATGATTGTTATACATGTTTTAGATATTTGTTATTTATCTTGAGTGCCTATTAGCTCTTATTTGCATTTATTTACTGGCACTGATCACATATTGTTTTTATATCTGTAAAAAAATTAATCAGGGCAACTGGACGTGCTGTATTTTTCTCTCTGGTGGGTAAACACCTGCTAGCTCCAATTATGCAAATGCAATCAACACCTTGCCTCCATGAGGTCTCTGACCCAATGCTGGTTATGTTTAACAGATTATGTGGATTGGAGCAATATTCACCATACTTATTCCAAGATAATTTTTGTATAATTCATTCTGAATTGAGAAACCTGGTGGAATGACCAGCGTCCAGTTGCCTTGATTTTTTTTTTTTACAGCTATCCATATCCCATCATACCTCTGGAAATCATGCCTGTGGCTGTCAGAGTCTTGCAATGCCCATGAGCTCAACAGCTGAACTGCTGAAGTTGCCTCCCACTGTGCTAGAACATGGTTCAGATTTGAAATGCTGTCTGTTTCCTTATATAGGAGATGTCTTTTCTTTCTGTTCTGTCTGACACCCATCACCTGCATAGGAAGAGGAAGGATATCTCCCTGATGGGGACAGAGACAGATCCTGAATTCTAACTATCTCACTCTTTAACTTGAACATTTTCGCTCAGTTTTCCTCAGGGGGATTTCCCCTTATTCCCTCTGCTGGCTGGCACCTGCCCAATTGATTATGGCCTCATTCACAGAGGTAAACTCAGGCAGTACAAGTCCGTGCATGCCCGTATCGGGCCATTCCCGGGAGGGACAGGTGCTGTGTGCTATTGCACGCAGCAGCCTGTTCTTCCCTATGGGAGGACGCAGCTGTACGCTGTCATAGTGCACATCCATGCGAGTCTGGGTGTTCGCGCTCAGACGCAGATAAAATCCATCCCAATTTCCCAAATAGCGACACAGAGGACAAGTAAAACTTGACAGAGGTTCTAACCCTCTATCACTCTTTGGAAGGGAAACGTTAAAATCCTGGTCAGCTTTTATTACTAAGAAGAAGATATGGTTTGCCACTCATTAGGGTAATTTGTAATCCTACAAATGAAAATGCAATGAAGATATCAGAAATAGAGGTGTGTCCATATTTTGGAGCTGTAGAACAGATAAACCTTTCTAATATCTCCATTGCATCTTTTTATTACTGTCTGTATATCCAGATTAAAGATTATAGTTGATTTACTAAAACCAAATCGACTGTTTGCTTTGTAAGGGAATGTTACCTTTAGCCTGGTCAATGAGGTGAAGCTCTGCTGACTTCCACTATCCATTTACGTGCAATCAAAAATACTGTGTTTTCCATTTTCCTTGCTCATGATTGGGTATTCTTTGCAAAGTGAATTTTCACCGCATTCACTAAGCTAGGAGAAAATTCTCTTGCAAACTGAATAACCCATTTGCCTTTATTCCCTCTCTCTCTCTCCCTCTCTATTGTGACCACTGTCCAATTGTGACCATTGTTACTGGGACAGAAAGTAATAGGAAATGCAAAATGTTACAGTTCTCACCAGTACAGAAATACGGGGACACGCGCTCAAGTGACAGCTGTCAGAGGGGATTTCGCATCACTTTGGAGATATTTTTTTTCTTCTTCCACCCTTTTGTATTTACATGTTACTAGGGCATGTCTAGTGTTTTAGTGGGATATACATTTATGATTTTTAAAAGTTGAAGGGAAGGGAAAGAAAAGTACAAGAAGAAAATTGGAGGAAATAACCTGTGATAAAACATCATCAAATAAAGTATAATGCTGCAGCTACAGACAGGCCCGGATTCCTCACAAGGCCACCGAGGGCCGGCCGGGGCGGCAGGGAGATGGGGGGCGGCACCGGTGTGGAATCCCCCGATGCCCGGAACATACAGTGTGGGGAAGACGTGTACGTTTACAAGTGATCGCCGAGATCACATATAATAAGTTTGCAGCCCGCCCCCCCCCCTGCACCTACCACTCTCCTCGCTTGCATCGTCCACCGGGCTCCGTCCTCCCCCAGCCGCCGAGTCTCTGCTCAGAGTAGCTGCCGTCGATGCGGTGAGCAGAGCGGCAGGGATAAAAGTAACCCTGCCGCTCCGTGTAGTGAGAGGGGAGAGCCGTTTTCCCCTCTGCTGTCACAGGAGTTCTAGCAAAGTGCTAGAACTCTTGTCCTGGAGGTGACGGGTTCGATAAAGAGAACCTGTCACCTCCAATTGCTATCACACAGGAGATTGTTAGCTCCTGTGTGATAGCAATGAAGTTAAGTGGAAAAAAAATTGATAAAAAAATAATTAAAGAAAAATTAAAGAAATAAGAGAGTAAATCCGGCCCTGGCTACAGACTGTATGATCCAGTTCTGCTGAGTTTCAGAAGTTGAGCAAATTTATTATTTTAATCCAAGTTAAAGGTATTCTATAGCTGAGGAAGTGCTTAGTGTGGATCAACACTGGCACTAAATTACATTAAAAAGAAGCCTCTTCTGAAAAATGCTTTTGGGCTGTTAATTGAATTGAGAATGTACAGGACTAAAATGAGGCAGTTAGTTTTGCATGCCAGTGAAGAATATACAGCATCTATCTTCCTGCTGGAGAAAGGAATGTTGCCTTCCCTGAAATACCATTCCTTCCACAAATGTGAAATGTGAAATTGGCAGTGATAGTTTGAGATATTGTATCTGGTAGTTTTAAGACATCTAAATATTTTGAAAATAGATAACAAGCAGTAACAATACAGGCCACCTGAAATGAAAGATATTCGTGGCTATCATGGTTGTTCAGGTATTATACTGTATGTTACAGCCAGTTTATTTTCCTCACAGAGTTTACTATTTTCCATAATTTGTTTTAGAATAAAGAAATAAGCCAATACACTATTCTTTTTGCAATTACTTTGTTAGTTTGAAATATACAGTAAGTGGTCGCTGGGGTTGGGGACTAAAGTACCAAAACTAAAGTGGAACTCCACCCAAGATATTTTTTTTTCTTTTGTGCAAAGTGACAAATGTTTTTTCTTTATCGTTCATTAAGGGAACACAAAGATATAGTAAATCAGAGGTTTGTGTTGTGTTGCTGCTTTCAGGAGGTAGACACTGGCAAACAGAAAAAAACATTACAGGCCAAACCACTTTAACTGTGCCCCTAACCATCATGCTTCAGTTTAATCCTAGTGTCTCTGCCCTCCCTGTCATCACTTCCAGGTATTGGACAAGAGGTGAAAGGGAAAGCCCAGTCATTAGCTCGGTCTTAACCAAGATATGTGACAGATAGACTTATCCCTGGGACTGCTTTGGAGGCTATACCTGGACCCTGCTGGTCTGAAGATTTGGGGGCCTGCCTGTAATGTTAGAAACAAATGGCAACCGTACAATTTATAACTAGCCTTAATAGCAAGGTGCACATGGAAGGGCTTACAGCAATGCAAGCCACAGTTTCCTAGCAGACTTACCAGCTAGCCTGCAACAAAACAAATTACACTGTCTAACAGTATGCGTTAAAAACAGAGGTTTTAGCTGCACATCTTGCGCAAAATATGTGGAAGCCACACTGCCTCGCCAAGGCTCCTCTGTGTAGTATGGTGTTTTCACACATATTTTGCGCAAGATATGCAACTAAAATTTGTTTTTAATGCATACTGTTAGACAGTGCAATTTGGTTTGTTGCAGGCTAGCTGGTACGTGTGCTGGCAAACTTCTGTGTTTTGCACTGCCTGTAATGTGACCCTCAGGCACTGGGCTTTGGTTGTGGTGCTTCACAGACATCTATTGTACTGGTTTGTTGACAGCAGAGTGCTTTACAAGTCCAGAACCATGTCACAGCTTCCTAGTGCCTCTTCCACTAATTTTTCTTCCAAAAGAAAAATGAGTGACAGGGCAGGCAGCAGCTACAGCACAAATATATGTTATTCCCAATATGTTTGAAAGTACCAGCCAGCCCATTAATCCAAAACAAACTGCTGGAATTTTCAAATGCCAAGCTCGGGTGAGGATGGGCATGGAGCATCTATTACCACAAGTACAGCTCTTCTTGTGATTCAGCAACTGGTGCCAATAATATAGTATAGGAAAAGTAGTTGGATCCACTGGGTGATGAACTTTAAAAACGAAAAGAAAAGAGGTACAGAAGTAGGCAAAAGTAGTCACCACTCTACACTTGCAACAGCATGTAATATCTTTGGCCCTTTTCTTTTTTTAAATTTGGTATAGTGTCCAAGCCTGGGCATGAGCAGATACGTGTGCAGCACTGACAAGTCACATGCTGCAAACTTTTATAATAGGTTTGCACAAGCACTAGGAGTTACCATTCCACGATTGTTCATACTTGAACACTTCTGCAAGCAACATAAAGTAGCAATTGATTGCATTACAACAATGGAGAACGGTTTTAGACCTGGTAGTGGAATGGCATCCGAGAAGAATTTTTACAAGCTCAGTACTATTGAGCAGCGCACAATCTTTGTCAGCAGTAAGGTGTTATATCAGTATTGTTATTCCCCTCATTTTTATGTGAAAGTCAGTATTTACTGGCCTCCTGGTCAAGCTTTCAGTTTTATTGCTGTTTATTGCTTTTATTGAGCTAAAGGGGGAAACGCAAAGAAGGAAGTAGAAATGGTAATAGAGTAAATCCTTATCTTTGCTATACGGTATGTGTGAGGAGAAGAGGGAAAAGATGGAGTTCAGATGCAACAACTTAGAAATAAGGCAGACCCCCATCAAATGTGTGGTGGAAAAACCAAAAGCTTTTACCAAGTTGCATGGGTATTTTGTGGGAAACAAATTATGGCCAAAAAGCAGGAAAATGACAACTCTATGGCCACAGTTCTGGACCTTTTGCAGCTAGATGAAAATGGGGGGGATTTCTGAAGACCTCTGAATGGGAAGCTAAACTGAGGTATAATCAAGTTACATTTATGGATTGAGCCCCTTCTTTGATACCAACAAGTACATAAGATTATCAACAACAAAAATAGAGAAATTGATTCATAAAAATAAAAAAAACAGTAGGACTGAATAAACTAGTTGACTGGACTGTCAGCTGAAAATCTGGGTCTGAACGTGCGAATTGTGGCCGTCAGTGACTAGTCAATGTTAGGGCAGAACGGAGAGTGGCAAGACTGGTACAAAACAGAAGGGCAACAGCGCAATGTCCGATTCCTCGCATCACCTTTCAACATCGCGTGGAGTCACAAGGCGGCCCAACGAAGTCATCTTGTGGAGTCATCTCGTGGCCCAACGAAGTACTGATGGGGTGGTCATAATAATCTGGCCACTCAGTGTAATGTTTATGTGCGTGGATGTATTCTGTTGGTGTGTGCTCACTTGCGGCTCCGAATAAATTACCCCATCCAGAGTGCTTAATCTTCACACTATAGCGCCCCAAAAAAATTAAACTTCTTAAGGCCGGAGTCATTAGGATGGACATTTCCTGCTTTCCTTTTTCAACAAAAGAAACTCAAACTTTTATTTTTTGGAAAATGTGTAAATGGTAACAGCAATTTTCCCACTGCAAAATGGATCACAGGTTACATTTGTCTAAATCACTGATTTTTTGCTATTGAGTTTGCCAAAATCATTGCAATGTATGCGACTAACCAAACGGACATTTTTTTTTTTGCTGACCAAATTGATGTCACATTTATGTATTAACCTTATTAATATCCCCTCTCCCAGCATCCATATGTGATAACATTTGGGAACTGCAAGAAGAAGCAAGAAAGTGTACATCGACCCCAGATGAGTGGATCAAGTATCTGCAGGTGCAGTACCTCTTCCTTCAGATCGAGAACCTAAAGCTGGATATTGAAATTAAGAAGAAAAAACTGAGTGCTGAGTTTACAACTTGGCAAGGAGAGACAGACAACTAAGAGGCAACACACAAAATGTCACATTATTACCTTCTTGTTACTGAGGAAAGGAAGAAAAGCAAAGGGGTCTATATATAAAACACCCAAATTAATCATCTGTTTTTGTAATCATATTTATAAAGCTGCTGTGGGCATTTTCTGCACTTAAGTTCATCATGTTTCAACAAAGAGGGGGAATCATTCAGCTAAATTTTTTTTATAGGTAGAGTTTGCTAATTTTTTGCTACCTAATATTTTGGCAAGGATTTAGACCACCTTAAATCTGGGGTAATCTATTTATTTCAACAGAAGGCAGGTGGTGAAGAAACTTTTTTGTAGTTTGTTTTCCAGTCTGTCTACCTTTCACTATGGTTCCATTGTAACATCAAACTTAGTGTATTTACACTTTTGCAGTCAATTATGAGAACACCTCTCTCTCATAAGTTCCTTATGTGTTTCTTTTCCCACAGCATATTGAAAAATAACTTTAAAAAAATGTCTTATATTGTAGATGTTTTGTTAAAATCAGGCAAAATGGCTGATTCCAGGTTGTTCTTAGCCCTTTCTCAGTGGTTTGTCCAAATGGAAAGACTTGGGACTGAAATTTGAGGATTGTGTTTTCTCTGATATGCTTCGTTAACATACATTAAGTATACTATGTTATTGATCTTGAAACAGACCCCATAGATGTTACATTCTGACATGTTGTGTATTTTTCTTGGAAAATATGTAACTGTTTTTGTATTGCATACAATATAAAATTATGTTTTGATTTATGCTTTGATTTTAAGAAACTTTGATGCCACTTACAAGCGATTTGATCACATATCTAGTATATGGCATACATTTGCAATTTTTTTAAATAAATGCTTTCACTGCTGCAAATAAGTGTAGTTTAATTGTGCCACCTGATATGTATTCACTAAACCAAAAGTACATTGAAAAACCATGAACTGAGGGTGTAGCAATTGACATTCACTTATTTCTCCCGACCTCGAACATACAAGAATTGACGGATGATGAGGGTTGAATTATCTCTTAAATATAAAGTAATACACTTTTCATGCTGGCCAATGCCTATCTCCCCAACCAGGGGCAAGTTGCAGCTCGTACTTCTATTCTATATAAACTGGGTGACTTTTTGGAAGGAGTGACCATTCTGGGCATGACTTTAACTTAGCTTTAAACTCTTCCCTTGACACTGCCTTTGGTTTCTCCCAAGACTCCATGACATAGTTAAATAAGCTGAAATAAGAGAGACATTGCGGTTAATAGATTTATGTTGCATAATCTTGTATCTTGCATGCTGCAATGCGGGATAACACCTGTCACTCTCTTAAACACTACTTCTACAGCAGGCTAGATTACCCGACCTCCCACTGAATTCTTAGCTGGCAGCATTAAGCTCATATTGGATCACAGTTGTGGTCGGACCACTTTCCTTTCTTTTCAGTACAACTTCCATTAAATTTAAACTGTCTCCTCTTGGCTTTACAAAGCACTACTAACCAACATACCACCTAAAGGTTTATTACTCAAGCTCTACCTGTCACATTTACCTGTGCCATGTTCCTGTGCTGGGTTTTTTCTTCTAAGGTGCTTGGTGTCCAGCCAATTGCAGGTAGCAGGCTATGCAGCCAATCCATTCCTCTGTTTTATAGGGCTAGTGTACCTGTTGTTCAGCTTTCAAGCAACAGGTCAGTACATCAGCTGCCAGACCATGTGTTTCCTGAGGTTTGCATCTTGCTTCACGAGGAGGATCCCTGTGCCCCTCTGTTTACTAGACATCGGACGAAATTTCGGAGATTCGTATGCATCCGAATGACAGAAATAATGATGAATGCAAACAAATCCGAATTTCCGATTCCGAAATTCGTTAGCGGTAGTCTGGACGAAATTTCGTTGCAGCAAAGTGACATTAAAAAAAAATATTTTTTTTTTCTAGTCTGCAGAAGAGGAACAAAAAAAAAAGTGTGAGGTCCCCCCCCCCCCAAAACCCACACCAGGCCCTTTAGGCAAAATTGTGGGGTCCCCCTAACATTCCTACCAGACCCTTGATCCGAGCACTGTCCCAGCAGGGCAGGAAAGGGCCTACCAGGCCACGTGCCCTCGGCATTGGAAAAGTGTCCCCATGACGATGGGGACAAGGGCCTCTTCCCCTCAACCCTGACCCGGTGGTTGTGGGGGTCTGCGGGCAAGGGGGCTTATTTGCATCGGGGTACCCCTTTAATTACTCCTTGTGAATGAGTAAGGGGTACAGACTTGATAAAATCCTTTAATTGAAAAAAAGACAATTTTTGACTATTCCTTTAATAAAAAAAAAATGGCTCCATCGATGTAATCAACGTCAATCACGATGCATGACGACTGTCCGAACCCGACGAAAACTCGCCGTAAAATGACATTCCTGCTCGAAAGTAAACAGATGGGCGGAGCGAGCCGTGATGTCACGGCTCGCTCTGGCCATTTGACGTACTCAGCTGTCAAATGCTACATAGCATTCGGTTACTCCCAAATGCTATTCCCCGGGTTTCCGAATGCCATTCGGGTCTGTGAGCTGAGGTGTCATATGAAAAGCCATTGAAAAAAACTGCCGTCTGGAGACGGCAACCCGCAGATGTAGCAGTGCCGTCCGTCCGTTTTTTTACTACGGGCGGACGGCAAGAGGTTAAATTAATGGAATAGTTTGTTTTTTTTCAATTAAAGGATTTTATCAAAAGTCTGTAATTTTGTATAACTATTTTATTTAACCCTTTAGTGCATGAGTAGGGGTACAAGTACCCCTTACTCATTCACAAGGGGGGGCGGCATCTGGGCACCCCCTTAATTAAAGGGGTGCCCTGATGCAAATAAGTCCCCTTGCCCGCAGACCCCCACAACCACAGGGTCAGAGTTGTGGGGAAGAGGCCCATGTCCCCATCCACATGGGGACACCCTCCCAATGCCGAGGGCACGTGGCCTGGTAAGGCGCAGGGAGGTGGGGGCGCTCGATCGTTCCCCCCTCTACTGCCCTGCCGTACTCAGATCAAGGGTCTGGTAGGAATGTTAGGGGGACCCCACATTTTTTCCCCCCATTTTGGGGGCTGGGGTTCCCCCTTAAAATTCCTTCCTACCAGACCTAAAGGGCTTGGTATGGATTTTTAGGGGTACCCCACGCACTTTTTTTAACTTGGGGGGAATGGGGGGGATCCCTCCCAACATTTCTACCATACCTAACGAATTTCGTACAAATCCGGATCCTGAAACAAATTGACTTTCGGACCCGAATCACGAAAAACGAAATAACGCATAATCCGAATCAAAATGAAACCAAACTAAACACATTTTTTGCCGGTGCACATGTCTATAAGTCATGCAAGGATCCTCACTCACCAGAAAGTAGAACCGTTGTTTTCAGGACGGTCAGAATAGTATGTGTGGTAATATCCTGCGATCTTCCTCTTTTGTCCACTCCAATACTCTTATTCATCAACCTTAAGAGTCTGCAGCTCCCAAGTGTATTCCGAAATTATTATTTTTTTAGAAGATCGTGTATTATAGTAAAAATTATTAGAAAAAAAAATTAAAATGTATTAGATCTATTTTATTTATTAGAAAAATTAAAATTCACTCCCAAGATTCCTCAAGAAAAATAGTTTAAAATCACAAAGTTGGACTCGACCTTGGAGAGCCTAAATCCACCGTATGATGAGCTAATTGTGTGGCCACGTGTTGACGCGTTTCGTCATACGACTTCCTCTAAACGGCTTCCACGCCGAGTTCATGATGTAACATTCACTTATAGAGCACTTAGATATGCAATACCGATCCAGCCACTAGGTGTCACACTGTAAATGATTATATATTCACCCTCCAACAGGTGTGTAAAGAAACCTAGTATAAAAATAATCAATCCAAGGTGTCATCCTCTATATAAAAGGTGTATAAATAAGCATATTGTTTCCTTGAATAGTACTCATTGTTTAATAGTGTATTAAAAAAATGACACACCTCCTAATACTAAGAAAATAGTTAAGATCGAATTCTACATTTAAACCACCAGGTCTCAGGGTATTCAGAGCAAAGATCCATCTAGATTCGTTTCTAGAGATGGATCTCTTAGAGGGATATTTTTTATGAAATAGTTTAAAATGCTTAGACACATTATGGTTGAGGTCACCCTTTTTAACGTTATTGATATGTTCTGCCATTCTCACTTTCATGGGTCTCGTCATCCTACTCACATACTGGAGGCCACAAGGGCACTCCAGTAGATAGGTCGCATATCCTGTGTCACATGTAATGAGTTCTTTAATCTCATATTTTCTTACTATTGCTACACCTAAAACTTTCCATTTTCTTCCTATTGCCTGAAACCCATCTCTTACAGGGAAATAAACCCACACCCCAAAAAATGTAAAGCCTGTTATAGGGGTGTCTATTTACAGCTAAATTTAATGCATTTTTCTGCCAGATACCCCAGGCCCACCAGAAGATCCTTTGGCTCTCCAGTACATCCTTGCTTGTACACTATTATATTGTCTTGATTGTAGAAATCTGTGCAAACTTTCAGTATATTTAAATTGGTAGACTTATAAATATCAATGCAGTAACATTTCTTCAGTAATCAGCAAGAGGAAGATTGTTATAAGAATAATAGATCCCAACCTCCATAGCAGGGCTGCAAAGGCCTACTCACACTACAGTCTGCCTCCATCACATCCTTCTCAAAGCCAACACACACTAGAGTTTTAGAGCCCATTCACATTATATTACAGTGCTAAAATGCATGTTCTACAATGCGTTTAATCATGTGTTGAGGCCTGCTGTGTTAGTGCAGTTCTTTAAAATGGGCCTTACAGCAGGAGAAATTAGTCTCTCAATTTTGTTCATTACATTGCTCATTGTGGTGCAGTCAGGGATGCTGTGTTGCAGGGCCATTACACATTTGGATTGAGTGCCATTCAAAATGAATAGCAATGCACATATACAAATGTAGTGCAGTGTGCCAATGTAACATGCAGACTGGGTGTGAATTGGCTCTTGAGCCTGAAATGA